TTTTTTTTTAAAGAAATATTTTTATTATTATTATTTTTTTTTTCCGTTGGCTTACGCCAACGGTCGCGTCACGTCGTGGCACAAAAGAAAGAAGGAAAACCAAAAAAAGAGAAGGGACCCGACTTACCTCGACGTTGTAGCTGTCTCCATTGCGCCCGTACCTGGATGCTTACGCATCTAGCTACGGAACAGGTAAGTTTTTGTCTTTTTTTTTTTTTTTTTTTTTCCGAAAATAAAAACTTAAATCATTTCTCGATTTATACGAGTCATCCTTGCGCCGCAAACGGCCGCGCCACCTGGCTGGGATGCTCCAAAAGGAGCTTTGCCCAGTAGGCCCGCATGTCAAGTTCGATCCCGGTATCTGCCGGGTGAGAGTTTGGCGTGATAACCTACTAGGCTAGCTCCTATCACGACAGTGATAAGAGCAGCCCTCCTATAAGAACAGGTTGGCCCAGCCAATGTCCCTTGCTCCGCGGCCTCGCAGGCCCCGTCGGCCCATAGGCTTACAGGCCAGGCTTGCCTGCGGCCCTGCAGGCCTCGCCTGCTTGCGGCCTTGCATGCCCGGATGGCCGGGTGACCTTGGTATTGGCCTAGCAACCCCCTGGCTCGGTGTCAACCCCTACGGCCTAAAGGAAAAACTTCCTATTCCTCCTGTGTCGCGGTCCCATACCTGACACACTCCTCTTTTTAGCCTACCTAGGCCCTGAATCACGCGGCTTTATTTTAGGTAGACTAGGTGTAACTCTAGTCTTCCCATGACCGTGCTTCCCTGCGGCCTTGTCGGGAACCGCGGACGAGAAGTCGTACCGCTGACGCCTGTTGTTTCAATTGGACGTTAACAACGTCATACGTCAATGACGCTAGGTCTTAGGTCCCTCAGTTATAGGTTTTGTTTGAATAAACTTTGGCAACGTCAATCTCATCATGTCTCCCAATCCAATAAAAAGTCGGACAGCGTCTGACCTTGAAAAACTGGCAGAAACCCTTACAGGGGTTTCTGTCCCGACAGCCTTCCCCGTCCCCATTAAGCGACGTCCCCGTCGCTTATCATAAGCAATACAAGGGGAAGTCTTTATAAGACCTCACCACATATATTATATAATCATAATTAACCCAGATTTTACATACTTATACACGATGAACGATGTTCCCTCCGTTCATTTTTCTTTCCTTGCTTAATCTTCTGGATACCCTTCTTATGAAGTACTCCGTGCAGACTTCATTACCATCAACGAGAAGGACTTACTTTCAAGCCTTTACTAATTCTTTCAAACCTTCCTTCGAAACCACTTTCATTCAGTCACGAGTTGGAATGGGGTCAGAAACAACCTCTGACAGGCCTTTGCCCAGAATCTGGAATCCACCGCCGGTGTTACCCAGCCTGAGGAGTTAAAAGAACCTTATAGAAGAATGATCCCAACATCACCCCACTGGCGGCCACTCATTTCTCCTTTTATCTCTCATAGATGGGTCAGGCTTATCCCCCTGATGGAACTCTCTTCAGGCTATAACCCCCTGTCTAGGTCTCGTAAGGCTTAACCCCTTGCGGGTCTTTCATCCGTACAACACATACTGCCAGGAATTTAACATGGGTCTCTCGTGTTCATGGGGATGCATTCCCATCACCTAAGCATATCTCTTGCTGCCAGGAGTTTAACTTGGGTCTCCCACGAAACACAAGGATACTCACACTATACTACAACATGTGCCGTCACCATCCCATAGAGAAATCACCCTTCCAAAAGCCAAAGTCCAGCCCGGCTAATTCCTACTCCAACTTAATTGTCATGCATGACTTATCTCCTTCATGTCTTATGAATGCGTCGAGGAGTGGTGTAATCCAAAAAAGGATAACATCTCGACGTCAGGCCCCGCTTTAGACTCGAGCCTCACCACTTTCCCTCCGATTCCAGTGTCATACATCTGTTAGTACCGTACCCATAAGGTTGAACTACCCCTCCCTTATGACCCAAGCTGATCAGACCCGGTCATAAAGTCGAGGCGACCCCATTCACCACAAATGAAAAGGTGATCAATCTTTCCTTCATGGCGAGCGGTAATCGCCACCCTCACAAGCAAGGTTCCAACAAACATATTACCACCTTCCTCCCTTTCGACGATAGTGCAGTTACCCTCCCCGAAAGGAAGGATAACAGCATCCCACCTTGGACCAGGAACAAAGTTCCGGCGCAGGCCTCACTACCGTCTACGGGGCTCACAACATTAGGATTTTTCATTGCATGACAATCGAAACAATACGAAGTCATAAGGTATGGCAAGCAATTGAATCACATGTCCGACGAATAACACACATGTTAAGTTAGGCATACGACCCAAGTACAGATCATCTCCTTAGACTTGTACTTACAAATCCCGCATTCATAACCACATATACGGAGTTTCATAAGAATTTCAGGTCCTACAATTCTTCATGTATGTGATGAATACTTTAATAACATAAGCATTCATCAGTTATTTCACAATATTCTTCTTGCAATGGACATCCCATCATGATAAAAATCTCACAAGGTCCTTTGGTATCACTCTTTTACTTTACAAACAGTATCCAATACCTCTTATGCATAGTGACAATTGTGAGAAAAATATCATCTTACAATTGCCTACGACAGTAAGGCACAGATCCATTATTACAAAACTACGGGAGCCACAACCCCGTTGATAATTTTTCAATCTCAATACTTTTATTAATACTTTACAACTTTTTTGGTTAGCCTAAGACAAATGTCAGAACCAACTGAACCACAATACAAAAGCAAGAAGAATTACCAAAATTGATGTCACCAACCACCTCCTCTACCCTTCCTTCCTAAAAACTTTCACTAAATTCTCGGGATAAACTTTCGTAAATGTGCACCCGATACCCAATTCCTACCCCGAGATCCATCCAACTCTTCTATTTCGTATGCCCCATGTTCTGTCTTCCTACTGATCCGATATGGTCCCAGCTACCGACTGTCTAATTTTCTGGACCAATGTTTTTCTAGCGACATATCATACAACAAGACGATGTCTCCAACCTCCAACGGCTCTTTTCGTACACGTGGTCTCTTGTCCCATCTCTCCTTGTCAGCCTGCCTGCTTTCGGAAGTAGAGACAGTTGCATCTTCAATCCGCTCTTCAGTCGCCATGATTTGTCTTGCCCTCAATTCCAACAACTCTTCCGTCGAAAGTTTCGTTTCCACATCCTGTTTTCGCCAAGTGGTCAGGAAACTCTCAATTGGAAAAGTCGCATGCCGTCCTAACCATAATGTGACGAGAGCATACCCAGTTGTTCGCTTGGTGGTAACATTCTCAACGAAAAAGGCTGCCCTCAAATAAATTGGCCATCTTGATGGTTCCCCTTTGCACCATTTAGCCAACAAGTTAGACAAGGTGGCATGTCCTCGTTCCACGGGTGCATTGGTCTGGGGATGCGCTCTCGTCGTATAACTGAAACTCACTCCAAGTCTTTTTAAAAGCGTTTGCACCTCCTTTGCTCGAAACTCGTCTCCTCGATCCATAACAATCTCTTGAACAAATGGATAACGGAGGTAATATTCCTCAATACACTCTGCCAAGATTGACCCAGAACGTTCGCGAATGGCACGACCATCAACATACCCAGTCAAATTGTCTCGTGCATCAAAGATGTATCTGTATCCATTTATCCTAGGTGGCATTACCAAAAGATCCAAATGCACCACCGCACCCGGTTCTGCCACATAACGTGGATTCAAGGGCTCGAGGTAGCGGATGTTAGACCTATGCTGGCAAGGGAAACAAGATTTACATAAGTCAATCACCATCTTGCTCATCCCTTCCCAGAAATAAAGGCGTTGGATTTTGTTCAAAGTTACCCGCGCAGATCTTTGTCCGCCGGCTACCCCATCATGCAGAGCAACAATCACATCCAACTGTCGAGAGATTCCGCATACCACCCTCTTTGGGACACCATCAGCAACTTTCTTAAAGAGATGACCGTCACAAACAACGAATCCTTTGCTTGTCTCCCGCACAACCGGATCAACCTCACTTTCGTCCAATTCCCCATTCAACCACATGCCTATCTTCTTATATTCCCCTTCGTACTCCTTTTTCTTGAATGCCTCTTTAACCTCACTGCTCCCTTTCTCCATACTTATTAACCTCAGGCGATCCTCATGAACCAGCAAGTTCATGATATATGACATCCTTCCAACAGTCTAGAAAGCGTCATCAGCCTGCACATGGCCCTGTTCAATCGTTAGCGGATCAACCATAAGGTCGATGTCATCGGTCAAAGCCAGCCTCATCATTTCCTCTGCGGTCTGCTCGCCCCATGGGTCCTCCTCGATGAAAGGTTCCTCTATCACGAGCTCTGAACGTACCTCGTGACAGATGGGAGCATTCCATATTGATTTCCCATGTCGAGTGGCCGCATCAGTCAGGTAGGCAAAGGGGTTAATATTCAACCTCGACTCCTCGTCCTTCAGGAAGGCATCGACCGGAACTGATTCTTCCGCCTGATCCGACTCTAGGTCCCATGCAACCCGACTCTGCCTATCAACACGATTCTGACTTCCCGAAATCCGCTCAATTTTGAAGTCAAACATCCAGATATAAGTCAACCATCGTGCAATAGTGGGATCTGCAGGTGAATAATTCCTTAAGGACTGAGCCAATGCAGTCGGATCCACTCGCAGGATGAAGCGTCTACCAAACACATAATTCCGAAAAATACGGAAACAATGAAGCACTGCCAAAGTTTCCTTTTTGAACTGGGAATAGTTCCTCTCARCAACATTCAGAGTCYTAYTMTCAAATCTGAGAGGTCTTTCCTGTCCCTCAGCATCCTTCTGAATTAAGACCCCTCCTAGGGCTGTGGGCCCCGCATCAGTCTCAATAACAAAAGGACGCCCTTCATCATCGTCGAAAAAAGGAACTCCAAGGATCAATCCGCCCTCACGGAACTCAGTCTTTATGTATTCCACGACCGCTTGCTGCTTCGAACCCCATTCCCACATCTGGCCTTTGCGCATAAGCTTTCGCAAGTGCTCCACTCTGGCGGCAAACCTGCTGATGAAGATGCGCCAAAACCCACAGGTTCCGAGGAAACTTCGCACGTCTGTGATTGACTTGAAAGGGGTCGGCCATTCCAAGATTTTATTAGTCTTCTTCACATCCGGTCGGCGACCTTTCTCGTCGCAAAGGAATCCCAAGATTATTGCTCTCTTCATACAATACCGAGACTTAATCCCACTAGCTGTGAGATTAAACTCTTTCAACCTCTTAAGAACTTTCACTACATCATTGATATGTTCCCAGACAAATCGGCGAATGCCCGGCAACACCTCCGCCAGGTCTTTCGTATGAGACCCTGGGATAGCCAAGTCGTCAATATACGGCGAAGTTATGTTAGGACAATAAGGTTGCATAACCCTCGTTATATGAACAATGCCAACTGCATTTGTCCACCCCTGCGGTACCACACACATATGGATCAACCCGCGAGGAGTATGCATCGCCATCTTGAGCCGATCCGCAGTGTAAATCGGGAATTGATCATACCCAGAATATAAATCGATGAGGGTAATGATAGACCTTCCTGCACAAGATTTCGACAGTAGGTCTGCATGTGGAAGTCCTCCTGCATCTCGCACTGTCACCGAATTCAGCTTCCGGAGGTCCTGAATCCACCGCAGAGTACCATTCGGTTTGATGAAACAGAACCATGGAGATGCATACGGCCCGTAAAAATAATCTGCAACCTTCGTCCGGATCTTTCCATCAAGATACGCGACCACTTTACGGTGATCCTCCGGATTCGGATAACGTGGCCCTCTCATATTCCATGGCTCATGTGGTACAATATGAACTCTAATCATCGGGATTTTATCGACATCCAGCCTTCCCCGCTCATCATCATCAAACGCATAGGAGAGATGCTCCTCCCTCAATATATCGATGATATACCATTTTTCCTGCTCAGTAAGGAGGTCCTCCTCCCCAATGATCATACTCTCCACTCTTTCTTTGGTTAACCGACATGGTCATTTTTCACCTCTCTCTTTCATTTCTCTGATCCACTTGCGCTCCTCACGATGATAGACTTCCTCCTCTTGAGTGATCAGAACAGGCACCGGCTTCGCCTTCACGCCTACTTTCTTGTACTTACGTTTGGTGCTGGTGTCAAGCCTGCGTCCTTTAAAAAAGGACCCTGTCGAGTGGAGGGCAATCCCTGACTTTGTCCCTTATTCCCTTCCGACGGGGAGTAAACAAGGCGCATAGTCCCTATGCTTCCGGTGTCCGTGATGATCTCCGTCAAGGCTTGCACCACATTCGGATCGATCGCCGCATGTGTCGACACGAAATCGATTGCCTGCCCAATATCAGGCAGGGTCAGCGAGAACTCACGAAGATTCGACTCCTTCCCCAACGATTTCTTCTCCCTTCTCAACTTTTCTAACTCCGGAAAGCTATAGGATTCCGGATTCAGCCGGTTCCGCGAACAATAGGGTCCAGTGTTTGCACACTTGACCACCTCGTAGTAACCGCAGACAGGATCGCAAAGGATTACAAACATGGTTCCATCATGCTTGTTAATGATGATGCTTTCCGACCGACATAGGAACGCCCTTCCCAGAAGCACTTCGTGCTCCACTCTAGGTAACACGTAGAAATACGAACGGACCTTGACCTTTCCGATCGTGACGAGAACGCCACTGGCTGTTCCGCAAAATGGAGTTGATCTGCTAGCTCCCACCAAAAACCCATAGTCATCTCGGTTGATCTTCAACCCAGCTTCGATGGCATGGCGCTCACGAATGATGTTCATCTCGGCTCCATCATCCACAAGTGCCGAGTACTCCTGCTGTCCAATCTGAACCTTCATATGGCCGGTCGACACACTTCGCCAATCCATCTTTGTCCCAGGCGGGGACCACTTAGCCTCCGGCGGAATGACTTCGCCGAGCTTAACAGTCATGACTCTCTTACGAGTCATCCGTTGTTTAAACTTTACTCGAATTTTCGGCGATACCGCCAAAATTTCCTTCAGCGTGACCAAGTCGCGCTGACTTTCCAGAATCTTATCGACGAGTCGCTCGATATCGACCCCGCCCGTGCTCCACGGGGATCGAGTAAATATTTTTCTTCTTTCGCGGCTCTTCCTCGCTTGTTTCGGCCTTCCCTTTCTCCGGCTCCCTTTCCAGTGCACGACGACGAGCCCGTTCTTCCTCTTCGGCCTGCAACTTCTCGTCCTCATTGTCCTCTTCGTTCTCACTAATGGAAATAGGCTCTTCTTCCAGTGCCTTTTCACACTCTTTCTCCTTTTGAAGCTGTTCGTTTCGTCGCCGCACCCGAGTCTAAACGGCTACAGTCGGGGCACTCCTCCTTAGCACAGGCCTAGGTCGCATCGTGCTTACCATTGGCCCAGTTTGTGATGTTTTTCTCGGAGCCGACGTCCCTGCTTGGCCAGACGCATCTTCCTTTTTATCACCCCATTCGCCAAAGAGAAAGACATTTGGCAATCCAGGCCAGACTTCCTCCATGTTCACATAAGCTCGGATGATAGAGTCCCGGCATCGGGCAAGCCGCCTAGTGATGGTTTGAGCTCGTTCCCCTACTTGTTCCCTGAATCCTTCTGGCTCCACCAGTGAGTCGTAGATATGCAATGACGCCATGACCTCCTCGACCTCGGCCAACCGTGCTTCTTCAGGAGAAGCAATCCGGAACGTTGCCGGTAGCGGACGACCCATTCGGCGATACGCCTCCTTCCTCATACCCCCTTCAATGTTGGGGTCGATCAAATTCCCTTCGTAATCAAAGATTTCACCACGTATAGTGGTGAAGACTATCCCTTTCTTCTCATCTTTTGAAAGGAGTTGGCAAAACCGCATAATATGGCCCTTTTCTGCGCAATAGTTACATGTGGCTTCCTGCTGCCACGCCCAACGGCTTCGCTGTCCGTTTCCACGGCCTCGACCGCGGCCTCTTCCACCCTGCGGCTGGAACTGCCCTTGATCTTGGGGACTTTGTCCTGACGAACCAGTGTCAGCATTGCCACTCCCTCCTTGATTATTTTGTCCACCGTTCTTCCCCTGTTTACGGGAAGTCCCCTCTCCGCCTTGAATTTGATTTAAGACCTTCCTCTCCGCCTTTGTCAACTTGTGAGGCGGCTCCTTTTCCTCCTCGCTCTCACTGTCACTTTCTTCTTCCGCCGGCTCTTTCCCCTTCCTCTTACTATTTTTCTCTTTGGCCAACATGACTTGAAGCTTCAACCTTTCCTCCTTCATGCCCTCCATCATTTCTCTCATGCAAGTCAAAGTTTTATAAATATCACTGTCCTTCACTTCTCTCAGCTTCACATTTTTCCGCTCCTCCTTTTGCTGCCTCAACAGCCGGTAGAGGATATCGTCAAACTTCCCCACCAGCGCATTTTGCCGGACCTTAGTCCAGTCATACCTCCCTTGCATCCCTTCAACCAATTTCGATTGTTCGACGTCGTTGAAGTTATCAAGGAAGATGAGGCAGCGATTTTTGTTGGACAGGTGGGGGATTAGGCGAGCCACACGCTCAAACTCCGACAAGAATTGTTTGGTTGTACCAAACTTTTTACGATCCACCGCCCTCAAATCCTGCAGGTCGAGCAACCGATCGTTGAGCTGGTACTTCTCTAGCAACCGTGCCTTAAAATCTGACCAATCGCGAGAGATCCGAACCAGCTCATCGATCTCGTCTCGGTACCCCACCTGACAGTACCTTTTGACCATACGAAGCATCTTCTCATCCGTCCATTCGTTACTATACCCCAGTTGCTCAAACTTGTCTGCCCAAGAAGAGGCATGATTTCCGTCGAACAGCGGAACATCGATCTTGGGGTAGGGCTCTCCCTGCGACTGCCGAATGACCCGTGCCAATTCTTGAATGTCGTTCCTCCCATCGCCGACGTTGTCGTGACGTCCTGCGGCACCGTCCATCTAGAAACATAAACCCAAGAAATCAGTCTAGGAGTTTTGGTGACATTTATTAAGGTTCCTCCCTTACATTTATAGAGGCTCGGAGATTACTAACTTTTTTTCTTAAACAACCACTATGGCACAATCTTAACTTGCTTTATTCCCGAGTGTCGTTCCACCAGGGACAACGGTAGTTTGCCATTATCCCCGGCAACGGCGCCATCTGTCGAGCGCATCGGCCCCCCCGCGAGCGAGGGCCCTCCCGGCCGCATCACGCAGGAGAAACTTATGCCTCCAACCTTTTAGAGACAACTCGGGGACAACACGGTAACCCGCGTCGACCCGTCACCGCTTCGGCCGAGTGCGCCAGCTGTACATCCCGCGGTCCCCTACGACAGGACAGGTTCTCGCGGGGCACAACTTACCTTCCCTAAGAGGCTGTCACCACCCTTAGGGGCGTATCCCCGCCGAGCTACCGACCCACATACGAAAGCTTTTATAATGCAATTGCATAGGTAGGCCGGTCGAGGGCGTTTGCTCGTTCGCTGTAGCATAGGTACGCATGGTTAAATGCTGAACTGGATCCAAAGTAGTCTGTCCCTTGGGCGCTGATCTCCTAGGAATCGGAACGCACGCCGGTCAACTAGGACGTCATATTCCAAACGTAAGGAAAACTTCTAGCGATCCAAGTCCCTTCTTTCGAAAACAATCAAAAGTTAAACATCAAAAGAAGACTCAGGTCAACGTAAGTTGACATATATTCTGAGATCAACTTATATATAATACAGCCATGCATACCACTCGCCCTGATCAATTTGACAAGGGTTGATTTGACTTTCATCCAACGACGAGACACATGAGTTGACTCGCCTTCGGACCTCACTTATCAACAAAAGGACAAAGCATGACGATGCGAAGCTCAAATGACATCTGACTAAAGTATCTACACTCTACTTGTCAGACGGTTGGACTGTCACGACTTTTTCCGACTCGATGAGATGCGTTGCCGAGTTCTTTCATTCCACCGCATGCGGACTGCAAGCAAGAATGCCGACAAATCCCAATACTCGATTAAAGCTAGGATGCCATCGCACCAGTGATGACTATGCTCCCACTCTAACTTTGATGTGAATGTCATTTGCAAGTAGTCCGGCTACCACTATACGAGTMAKTACTCGACTTGAACGACCRAAYGTTGAATRCCTCATTAAGGTCAAGGATCCATTTTTGAATTTTGTTGGTCGCTTTGTCCTCTCGAGCAATGATTACTTTTTCTGTCTCACGAATRATGAAATATCAGTCTGCGATATAAAGATATTCAAGGCAATGCTTTAGTTACATTTTTTCCGTCAACTAGTCTGATCGCCCCAGGCTTGCACTTCTTATGGCGCAACCCTATCCGCGAAGGTAGTGCCTAGTCGCACTCCGTCCATGGCTAGTGATCGCACGAACTGGGCTTCTTATGGCGCCAGTTCCTCACTCATCTGTGGCTCCTAAGACG